AATAGGATCCTCAAGTTCAAAGGAAAATACTTAAGAGAATAACAGCTAATGAAGTATTTTAAATATGAAATAATTATAAAGTCAATCAGAATATATCCACTCTCAATTTAAGCCAAGTTTGTTCTACTTGTTTAATAGAGTTGGCTAAACAGAAACTCAAATAAGTGCTTGTTAATTATACTAATTAACAAATGACTGTATTAAAACATGAGCTATGTAAAACCAAGTGAAAACGTGAAGTGACTACGTGCGTGCAGTAAGCACCTCATCAGTAGGCAGTTTCTCAAAGGCCTGTGTCTGCTGCCCCAGTTATTTGTGGGGTTTCTGTGAGTGTTCAAGAGCCCCAGTGCAGCACCTCCGGGGCAGGTRGGGAGGGAGGAGGGGGGGATCCTCTTTCTGGCTGTCTTCATAGTCCCTGCTCTCAGCAATGTACAACTGAAGTCCTAGAGTCAGCAAAGGAAGGGGAGAGCACACCCCACTACCACRTGAGGATCTACTGGGGGAGCTCAGGTGTGTGAAGAGAGCCAGCAGAAGAGGTCTTTGGGTGCCACCCCTACTTCACTCTCTATTTTAACTCAGGAAGAAGTTGATTTGCCCAACCTGTTACCAGTGCACTTATTTCAATAACCCTAGAATTTATATTTCAGCTCAAAGGCTATTTCCTTAGATAAACTTCCCCAAATTTCCTTATCTTAACATCCTCCACAGAACTATTACACTTTTACATTTTGGCGGATAATTTGATTCATCTGTTGAATTTCTCCAAAACTCTAGAACTCAAGCTCTCTGATGACAGGCACTATATCTAGTTTTGTGCCCACCACGCTCTCAGGGCCTGGTGGTATGTACTCAAAAAGACAGAGACCTGCTAGGTCAATGAGCACAATTAGACTCAACAAATGCCTTTCCCCTAAAGGCATTTGTTGAGTCTAATAAATTCAAACTTCCTTTTGGGTGACTTTGAAAGACAACAGGGACAGAAGTCACCTCACACAGGTGTGAAGATGTTCAACATAAATACTCCTTATAATAAAGTGATATCCAATGGCTATCCAGTAAGAATAAATGTAAATGAACACCTGATGAGAAATTTAAGTCTCGTAATGCCAGGGATTAACCTGGGCATTCTGGAGAACTTCAAGCCATGATCTTGATTTACCTAACCATTATGGTGGTACAGCAGGCACTTGGCAGAAGCAAAAACCAGGTTCTTGTGTTTTTCATACAACTAATTTTTCAAGTATCTTGACAAACACATAGTTAAAAATAAGCAGACTCACAAGGAAACATCACACCATAAGCATAAACTAGCAGAAACAACAGATAACAAATACAGAACCACAAAAACTTAAAGTGTTAGTTCCAAGAGTATGGTGTGCCTGAAAATTAGGAAATAAACTTCTACATTTCTCCCCCCCCCAGCGGGTGGCCCTACAGTATTTATTTTATTAACTATCAGAACAAAAGAACTAGCAACAAGGTCATGATCAGGTTAACTAGAGAGGAGGCCTAAGACTGGGAATGTAGATGATTCGTCCTGGGGGGAAGCAGCACTACCAGCTGTGGGCAGAGGTGGGTGCCCATGTGTGGGAAATGCTGGCCTAGGTGACCTTGATGGAGCCTTCTGCTCTGTGACTTTAAGGCACAAAGGTCCTATTCATCAGGCTGTTCTACATTTCTTTATGATAGGAATTAGAATATATTTTGAGCCAAAGGACAATGAAAATATTATATATCAGAACTTATTATAAAATGGTGCAATCACTTGGAAAAATATTTTGGCAGTTCTTCAAAAAGTTAAAGTTACAAAAGAGTAAACCATTCTGACCCCAGATTCCACTCCTAGGTATATATTTAAGAGAACTGAAATACACAAATGTTCATGAAGCATTATTTGTAACAGCAAAAAATTATAAAGAACGCAAATGTCCATCAGCTTATGAATGAATAAGCAAAATGTGGAGATTTGTACAATAGATATTATTCATCCATAAAAAAGAATGAAGTTTCCATATGTGCTACAACATGAATGATCCTCAAAATATTGTCAATTRAAATAATTCAGACACAAAAATCCACATTGTACAATTTCATTTATATAAAAAATCCAAAGCAGGTAAATCCATGACAAGAGACTGTAATGTTTACAGCTTCCAAAGGCTTGGGGGAAGGAGGAGGGCAGAGAGGCTGCCTATGGGTATGGGATATCTTTTTTTTTTTTGTACCAGGGATTAAATCCAGGGGCACTCAACCCCTCAGCCACATCCCCAGCCCTTTTTAATATTTTTTTAGAGACAGGATCTCACTAAGTTGCGAGGCTGGCTTTGAACTCGCCATCCTCCTGCCTCAGCCTCCTGAACTGCTGGGATTACAGGTGTGTGCCACCATGTCCTGCTGGAGTATTTTTTATGGTGATGAAAATGTTCTGAAATTAGGTAGTAGTGATGGCTGCTTAATGTTATAATATATTAAAAACCACCAAATTGTATAACTAAAAGGGTAGATTTCATATTATGTGAATTTTATTTCAATTTTTAAAATTTTGTGGGATACAGCCATGTAAAAGAAAATGTATAGGTTTAAATGAATAAACCATTCTTACTAGTTTGCTAGCAGAGTACCCCCAAGTTAATCTGTTATTCTTACAAGTAAGGATTCTATACTAATTTTCTTACTATACTCACTCGTAAAGATATGCTTGAATATACCTGCAAGAAATTCTGACCTATGAAAAATATAGCAAATTTTGAAAGAACCATGTAGAATTCTAGAAATGAACAATAAAATAAATGAATTAAAAACCAGATGGGATGATTTTACACAGCTGAAGGGAGAATTGTTTAACTGCAAGGTAGGTTGGAAAACAATTACCCTTATTCATGTGATTCATTGAAGTATTTGGTGATGAAATGTCACAATGTTTGAAACTTACTTTCAAATGGCTTGGCAAAATATGTCGGTACACAAGTATATACGGAGCCCTACATACAGTATGTTTATAGACATAAACTTGTTTAGCAAGAGAGGAGCTAAAACAAACTTGGGAAAACAATTTGTGAACCTAGGGAAAGGGCGTATGGAGTTCAGTGTCCAACGTACTATCTTGGCTTCCAAATGCTGCATACTGTTCTGCCCCTACCTTAGTGGTGCGTTCCTCAGCCTCCTTCACTGATTCTTAACTTCTTCCTGATCTCTTATGCTACCATGGCCCAGGGCTCAGGCCTTCAACTAACTCCCAGCTTCCACTGTAGACCTCTCTCAAACCCAACTTTCACATCTAAGTTCTTAACTAATACCTCCAGTTGGTTATCTAAAAGACACCTGAAATTAACAAATTCCAAGGGGAAAAATCAAAATTTTCTTCATCCATAGCCTTCTTTAGCTCAGTCAATGGCAGTATCATCTTGAATTTTAGTTGCYCAATCCAATCACCTTGACTTCATCCTTGACTCTTCCCTTGAATCCCAGAGCTAATCCTGCTCACCTTCACAATGCCCTCCCCATTTTTGAGGTATAAGCTCCTCTCTGGATACTCGAAATATTTAAGTGGATTACCTGCCTCACTCCCTGTTCCTGCCAAAGCCAGTGATCATTTAGAATCTATATTGCAGCATGTAATTTTCTACCCTAAACCCACTATAATTTTTTTTTAAGGTACCAGGGATTGAACTCAGGGGCACTCGGCCACTGAGCCATATCTCTAGCCCTATTTTGTATTTTATTTAGAGACAGGGGTTCACTGAGTTGATTAATGCCTCACTTTTGCTGAGGCTGGCTTTTAACTCATGATCCTCCTGCCTCAGCCGCCTGAGCCACTGGGATTATAGGCATGTGCCATTGCACCTGGCTATAATCTTTATTTCACAGAACAAAAGCCAAAATCTCTAGCAGTTGTCTTCAAGAATCTCTATCATCTGGTACCATACCCTGCTCTTTGCTTTATGACCTCAACTCTCCTACTTCTGTCCCCCTGGTTCATTTTACTCCAGACACTCTGGGATCCTTGCCACTCCTTAGACAGGCCAAACATCCTCCCATCATCTTGGGGTCTTTGCACTGACAGTTCCCTCTATACCTAACCTAATTTGCATGATGAAAACCAGTTTCTGGGTGACTGGGAGAAGGACCCAGGCATCAGTATATTTTWAAAATATTCCAAGTTTCTTCAAAGGTCAGGAATTATTTTAGCCTTGAGTTGGTAATTGCACTATTCTCTCAAACAAATATGAGACAAAATCAAAGTTTCTTTGGTGATTCTAATGTACAGCAGGGTTGGGAATCACTAGTCTAGAATCCCCAAACTAGGTCATTTTGTCCATAAATAATTGAGAYGTTCCTATTTGAAAGACTGTCTTAATGAATTAAAAAGATATACATAAGGTGAAAAAAACAAATTTATTTTCTGAAATAGAAGAAGAAAAAAAGTATGTGCTTGAATTCACTTTGAAATGTATATTAACAACAAAGCACCTGTCCCACATCCTACTTTTTTCAACTTAGCTCTCAACACTGACATCTGAGAGAAGAAAAGGGAGATTTCTGGCCTTTGGTTTGTAGGACTTGAAACTTGCAAGAGAACATGTGAGAGGTGCGCTCCAATACAGTCCTCCCAGGTCCTGGCAGAGGCATGTGAACAGTGGGACTCCACACAGCTGGGAAGTGAGAGGCTTCTTACCGCTCACTTATCCAAGAGCTTTCAAGTAGTTATTTGCAGTTTGAAGTCTTGCCAAAACTTTCACTAATGCTTCCCCAATTTTGAGATAAAGAATGAAATTCTCTTCAGTTTCAAATGAATTAGTATCTAAATCTGAAATTATCAAAGTGACTTCTTTCTCTTAAAAAATAAACCACCCAAATGAATTTACTGGTTTGTTAATAAACCCAGCAAGGAGAAATTAAACCATTACTTTTTGCCCATGGTTATGGGAATCTAGAAAATGCTAATGTAAGTCTTTGAGACGTGGAACCACCGAATTCTATCAAAATGTCAGCTGAGATGATTACATTTGATCTGAACTTCCCTCAGAAGACTGGGGGTCCTGCAAAGATTTGCTGGTTTGCAGACTACTCCCACTCATGCTGATGAGATGGCTGCTGATGACATTGAGTTCTTGTATCACCGTGCTCAGATCTTCATGTAGTCTAACTACTGCACTTTTTACATCCCCTAGGAGAACTTTAATGGAACTCTTTGCTTCGGGTTCCCTAGGCAAGCCTTTGGTTGGTTGAAAACTAGAACAGGGGACAGAGCAGGAGTGGTCTACATTTTGGGCAGAGAACTCTACCCAATTACGCCTGGAAATATGACTTGTCTTAGCAGAATCAGAGTTATCTGGAAGCATTTCTAGTAGATTGAAGATGTCATTTTCCTCTTCATCAGAAAACAATGGACCACTGGGAGCAAAATGTTGTTGAGCCTTGGCTGTCTTATCTTTATGTTGAAGGGAGGCAGAATGTGACTGCTGGTGGGACAAAGTCCACAAGGAAGATCCAGGCAAGGTTGGGGGGAAGTGATGAACTGACTTCTCTGGAGAGTTCAAATCAGGAGATGACACGGATAAAGTAGAAAAGGAAGATGTTCCCTCAGAGGTAGTTGGAACTAAAATGTATAAATGAGAAAGATATGTAATAAACAAATGGGAGTAATAGCTAGAATAATTCTATAATGTAAAAGCCTACCAAGAAAATCTCAATATTAACTACTTAGAATTTTAAAGGTTAAATATTTTAAAGGTTAAATAAGCCTTAAAAATCCAAAGCAGGAAACTGAGAAAATATACAATGTACGTATGTATGTGTATATACATATAAATAATATATGTACATACACATATATTTATACACAGTATTGTTGAGATACATGGTATTGGTGAGAAAGCTACAATAATACCATGGAGGGGCTGGGGTTGTGGTCAGCAGTAGAGCGCTCGGCTACCATGTGCAAAGCCCTGGGTTTGATTCTCAGCACCACATAAAAATGAATAAATAAAACAAAGGTATTGTATCTAACTACAACTAAAATAAATAAATAAATAAATAAATAAATAAATAAATAATACCATGGAAATAAACACCAAATAGAATTATCAACATTCATCTTGACTCCCAAATCCTGCCCAACATATTTTTATACTATTATAAACTTCATCAGAGAAAGAAAAGTATTAAACCCTTCTTACTGACAGCATTTTAAGCTGGTATTTAAAGTAGAAACTCTGCGAAGGCTGGAACTTAGTCCTTCATCTTTTCTTCCCCTGAAGAGATTATGATGATAAAATGAACTACCAACTACTACAAGGCTACAAAATTTAGRGAAATTAATCTTTTTCTTTTATGGTCAAATACAGTCAAGACTGGAGTCCGACTCATCTGACATCCTGATTACTTTCACACACAGCTATGATAATTTTCTTCACCAGGAAACTATAAGTAACATAAAAAGTATTCTCAACCTGTTTTCTGTAAAATTAAAGATTCGAGAAAAAGATGACTTCCTTTCGTGCAAAATCATGTTAAATACTTTCTCTCACACTTCATTACAAATCATTATTTCTCAAACCGTTCTGAGATACAGTGTGTTCCTGAAGATGTTAGGCATTTTGTGAAAATTGGGCTTCCTAGTGYATCAGGAATGGGAAATTGTACCTGTGCCTCCCATTAGGAGATTAGCAATGTCCATCAGCATGTTTAAAATTCTGAGAACTCTCTGGTATCTTATTCAAGTGTTTTCTAAACATTACTAAACACAGAACGTTTTCTTCTTGCAATATCTATTTGCATTCCTTTATAGATACATGGTACAAATTGGTGAAATCCATTTCTCAAGTCTTTGCGACTCACTCTGAACTTGCTATTTAAAAAAAGACTTATTCAGTGCACATCACAGAACAGGGAAACAGATGCCTACCTCTTAGCACACATGATTATCTTTATTATTTTATTCATATTCATGTCCCTTCTAAAGTAAATTGGAACTCTATAAAAATATGGTCAGGGGCAGGCAGCTACTCTCTATTTTTTGCTTCAAAGCCCTTTGCAGCCTATCTCCAGTTCTCAGGCAAAATGCCAATCATAAGAAACTTTTTTTTGGATGAAACAAGTATTCTCAGCTGGTGTAGCAGCAGGACACAAAATGGAAGCAGGAACTTCATCAGCGCATGGTCAGGCCAAGCCAAGCACACTCAAGAATCTAGGTCAGGCTCATCCAGCAGACATTCTATCCTTGGGTTAAAAAGCCGCCCAAGCCAGTGGCACGTCAACGAGGAAAGTCTCGAGTGAGTGCGTGTGTCCTGAGTCGTACTGCTGCACTCTGAACTAGGTGTGCTTTGTGTCTGGATCACAGCTGTCATCTGACATGTCCCTTCACCATCTTCCCCAGCTGGCGCCCTGCGTTGTGTATCCCACGTCCTCCTCCTCCTCTGTTAGACTCACTGTGCAGAAGCACCGTCTCCAGGAGTCGCTGAAAAAGATGCACGAGGGGGAAAGGCYGAGGCACCTGCCTGTCTGAAAGGGTCTGTAATTCTAACTTTAAGCTTAATGACAGCGTGCTTAATAAAGAATCCCTTTCTTTCAGAATTCTGAAGGCCATGGTTCATCATCTTGTTTCCTGTATTGCTATTCAGGAGTTGGAACCATTCTAGTTATGATTTTGTCTAAATTTCCTTTATCTCTGAGGTGCCAGAGAATTTCCTCCGTGGCTGGTGTCTGGAGCCCCAGTGCGGTGCCCTGTGGCGAGACCTTCACGGTGGTCAAGTGGAGGTGGACGCTCAACTGGCAACTCGTTTCCTTCAGCTTCAAAAAATTTTCTTCGATAACTTAATTGTTTTTTCTGTTCTTTCTGAACTTCTTCTTATTTTGATGTCAGACCTCTTAAACTAGTTTTCTAATTTTCCTATTTTCCCAACCTTTGTTCTTTGCTCTATTTTCTTGTCAACTTTAGATCCCAATCCCACCACTGAGGTTTTCATTTCTGCTATTAAGGTTTTAAAAAAGTTTTCTTTTCCCTTCATGGTGTAACTTGCTTCCTCCAAGTTATTTTTCTTTCTTTTTTGCCTCACTTTTCCATGTGAGAAGCTTTTTCAGACGTTTGGCATTCCTTTTCTGCGTCTGATGGAAAATAAAGGATTCAGAAACTGGAGGGAAGCTTTGAGAAAGAACGTGGAGCTCGGGGTAGAGCCCCTGGGTGGGTTACTTGCATGTCAATATCTTTGGTTCCTTCCTCCAAGGCCAGCTAGGTTCCTCTGAGAAGAGTTCTCCTGCCTGGAGGGTAAAGGTCCAGGCACCAGGGTGTGTGGAGCCAGTGGGGAGAAGGGGCTGAGGCTCGGCAGTGAGTTGGCTTGTGCCACTGAGGCTTGGTTATAGTACACCCTCACCCTCAACTATCCCTAGCATGTCTCATTTCACAGACTTTCTCCAGAAAACAAACCTGCAGACTTTGCCAGGAGCTGTAGGGGTGGGTAGGTATTCAGGGTAATCATTCACCTCTCTGACAAGGTAAAGTCTAAGGATTTAACTACTTTTCAAATAAATGTTTTCTAATTCTCTTTGTTTAGCACCTGCTACAGTTTGGCTGTGGTTTCTTTCCCCTAGGTTCATTGCTGGAAGCTTGGTTCTCAGGTGGCAATGTAAGAGGTRATAGAACCTTTAAGAAGAGGAGCCTAGTGGGAAGTGGTCAGGTCATCAGGCAGTGCAGTCCTTGGAAGGGATTAATGTGGTCCTCATAGGACCCAGGTCAGTTCCAAAAGAGTGCATTGTTATAAAAGAGAAAGGCTGACCCCAGATCCTTCTTTGGCTTCCTGTCTCACCATGTGATCCTTCGCTCTCACATGTGTCCCTGCAATGATCCCATCCATCTGTTGTAAGGTTGCCAAGGGGGCCGGTGCCAGAGCCAAGCAGATGCTGGTGCTGTGCTCTTAAATATTCTAAACAGCAAGCTAAACAAACCTTTTTTTTTTACTGGTAAAGTATCCAGCCGTAAGTATTTTGTTACATCAATGAACACAGACTAATAAGCACTGATGTGGAATATCATTTTAAATATGAGGCAAAAGACTCTCAAAGAGGCTAGAAATATTTCCCAAGATCACAGGCTAAAAGGAAGTAGAAAAGGTTCCAATCAAGTAACTCTTTTATCGTAAAGTGTATGATCTTAACCAGTAGATTCTCCTGCCATACCATTCTACTATCTTATATTTTTTTCTCTAATAGATAATTATATTAAATTTTGGATGTAAATTTATAAGGCAGGTAACCAGGATGACGAGTGCATTTGAYATCTTATTCATAAGGAATGGCTGAAAGATTCACGAATCCTTATCTGAAACAGAATGTGGGACAAAGAATGAGAGACTGTGTTTATTTGAAGATAGTTGCAAAACCTTAGCAATATCATCTGTTTATCCTATTGTCCCTTTAGAACTGTGATCAATAGATGAAAGATATAGGAAAATATGTTTTAGCCCAATTTTTATACAATAAAACTTTCTAAACATCATCATTTTTCATGCATGAAACACGCTGCTTTGGGAAATGGTAAGTTTCTTGACACAGAGCTCACACACAGACTGAATGACTCTGGCAGGGTGTTTAATGCATTAGGTGGCAGATCTGTATGTCCTTGAATAGATCCCAAGATTCTAGGATCTAAAACATATTTGTGCTAGGTATAGTGGTGCATGCCTGTAATCCCAGCAGCACGGGAGGCTGAGGCAGGAGGATCACGAGTTAAAAGCCAGCTTCAGCTACAGTGAGGTGCTAAGCAACACAGTGAGACCTGTCTCTTAAAAAAATACAAAAAAAAAAAAGGGCTGGGGATGTGGCTCAGTGGTTGAGTGCCCCTGAGTTCAATCCCCGATACCAGCCCTACCCCCAAGAATTAAAAAAAAAAAWATTTGCTAGAATACTAAGAAACTTGTAGAAATAGGGGAATCTGTGTTCACTCTGGTCAGAAAGAATTTAAGAAGAAACTTCTAAATAGGTCAAGAGGACAATTTTGAGCCAAATATTAATATAGTGCTATCATATACAAAGAGTTAATAGTTATGTTAGTGATGGATACATGCTACGACTAAAAATCTTGACTTAACTTTATGCTAGTGGTTCTTGAATGTAGCAGCAGCATCTGGAAACTTGTTTGAAATGCGGTTCTTTGGCCCTATCTCAGACCTATGAAAACAGAAATTGAGGGTTGGGCCCAGAAAACTGAATTTTAACCAGCTTCCAGGTGTCTCTGTGGTATGCTGAACTTGGAGAACCACTGTTTTCTACTCTCTGTTCACCTTTCTCTTCCTTTGTGGTCAGGGCTTGTCATTGTCTGTACTTCTACAGCTTGATTCCCAGGATGTATGACGCTTGCACTTATAAACCATTTGTCTCTAATTGCCGCACACCAATTGACTTTTGTTTCCAAAYACTACACAGCTGTACCACACTTCACCCTGCTCTTGGGATGCATCTCTGCACCATTTGATCCCCCTTCTCTGGCTCCTGCGGAGTGGTCTGGGCATCTCGCTAAACTTCATCCTTTCCATACAGCCCACCCAACAGAGATGACAGGCAGCAAACACTGCAAGTAAGATGCACTGAGGCAGGTTTTACGAT